GTTATACTTTCTAATCAGATTCTTAGGAAATAATTCGTGAGAGAAACATGACTCCGTACTTGTCCTTATTGGACTGGGATAAAATTTAACAAAAATTAATGTATGTAGTAGGTTTTTGTTCTATCATCGTGGTAAATATATTAGTAATGATGAATGCTGATGAAAGGTAAGTAATGGTTTTGTGTTGGGCTGACAGGTGTAAGAACTAACAGGTGTAAGGAAGAGGCAGATGCAGGTGTGGAGCAAGTGTGTGTGATGCTGTGAGTAGTATGAAAGGGGGATTCAGAGAGTGCAACGGACAAGTGAAATAGCAACAGCAACACTCACAGCCAGAGGCATTCTTGAGCTTCCCCAGAGCTCGGACATTATGTTCAAAGTTGGGGTGTGGCTCCAAAAGTATCTTGTAGTGCTTGCTGCCTTTGCACCCCGTGACATCGTCTGCTGCTATGCAGCTACTACACCCTTCGAGCCCAGTGTGGGTGGGGTTTGTGGCAGCCCAAGGTGCCTAGCTTCTCCCTCTCAGCCCTGTGAGGGTGGGGAATGGGGCTAGGCCTGGGGACTGCTAGTCCCATGAGATGAGAAGGTACTTGCATCTCCTCCCATGGCAGACATTGGTCTGAGACACTCCCACGAAGGGAAGCCAAGACTGGGCCACCACTTGGAAAAGGCCCTGGCCGGGCGATTATACCGGCGAATCTACAAACAAGAGGGATTCAGCAGCTTTGACTGATGGTATTAAGACTGAGGTGATGAAAAACGACGTATAACGAAACGACGTTAAGCGAGGACTTCTTGTACTTGCAAAAGTAGTCAAGAGTATTATTAAACCATTGCTAAAAAACGAAATTCGTCTCTCTTCCCAGTACACAGTTTTGATGGTACACGAAAGAAATTATACAGTGTGGAGTCTGTTGCTTTCACTATTTATTTTAAAAGCTAAATTCCATCTTGGAAAAATCTTATCGATTACTACAATTTTAGATTCTTGTTCCATGTTAAAAAATATTCTACTTTCAATAGAAGCTTTGCTACTGTAGTTATTAAATTTTGGCATCTGTGAGGTATTCACGTAGGTTTGATATTATTGGGTAAATAATTAACAAAAAATCTTGAAAAACGCTTGAAAGTGGAGATAATACAAGTGTTGGAAAAGCCGATCTGCCCTCGAGTGTGTCCCTATTCGTTGTTTGCCGAGGTGGGTATATCTTGTGCCACTGAGGTTAGGGTGGAGCCACTGTAGGGCGCTCCGAATGGAGTATTAGAGAGTGCCTGGGTCAGGGTGGGGGTCGCTGGTCCAGCTCCACCGATAGAAGACATTTTCACTCTGGCGCTCTCTCGCTTCTGACGGTGTATCTCCTCAGTGCGAAGTGTGATACCGAAGATATCTTCGTGGTACCGATTCTCATCCTAAAATGATTGATATCTCTTAAAAGAAAATGTATAAAAAGGTACATTTACAATATGGCTTAAATTCTTCCTTATTGTTATGCCTAACATAAGTGACACATTATGCTGAAACTCGCCTCTGATCACTTCAAATACGTAGATGTGCAATTATCAAACAATCAACTATTGTACATGACTGATGCAATAACACAATCATGGCGGGTTGTACTGCAGACCTGTTTGTAGTTCTATGAATATCTTACACATCCTATATACTAGTGCAGTATTCTAGCACTAAATGTACTGCATATTAAAACGTTTTCTATTTTGTCTAATATTCGTGTATATGCTATTACACATTTATGAATCAATATGGTTATTATATATATCATTTTTTCTACTAACAAACGAGGTTGGAATTTTAATGCTTTGTCTCTAAGTAAATATATCTGAGTTTTGAGATCTGTTTTTTCTTTTTCAAAGTTAAATATATTCTGAAGTTCGCATGTGTAGCAAGATTCCCTCACTATTTTTTTTAAATGTAAATAAATGAAATCTGATTATTGGGGATGGTTTGTAAAAGACAACAGATCGGTACTTTGAAGAGTTGTACGAACCCTCATCTGAAGCATGAAGTTCTCAACCTCCTGGTCAGAGAGTCTCCCGTGTTCCTGAACAATATTCTTAAGCTTCTGGTACACACACTCAGCCATGGTACAGTCACCACACACGTAGAAGTGACCTTTCTCCTGCACTACCTGCTTGTACACGTATCCACCAACTTCTACCAATAAATCTTGAACGTAAGTCTGTGGATTCAAAATAATTATCATAATTCGTCACAGCTCTGTGAAATTTAATACACATTTTTCCCCTTAGACTGAATGCAGACGCTCCTATATTATCCTTAGTTTACTTGGCCCTCCAGGTATACTCTTACAGTTTAAATGCTGGTGTATTATCCCCGAGTTTACTAGGCTTTTGAAATTAAATACTGCTTTAAGTTTGATAGAGTTGTATTACCTTGGGTATAGTAGGTTCTCTGGAGAGGGCGAGGTAGGTGTGGGTGAGCACTCCTGCTCGCCTCATAACTTCCTTCTCCTCACTATACAGATCAAGAGCCTTTGTCCGGCATCCGAAGAAGAGATTTATCTCTCCAGGCTTCTCTAGAAAAATAAATGAGTACCATAACACATGACACACACACACACAAACCTACTAGAGTTTTATGACAAGGTGACAGAAGTAAGACAAGAGAGAGAGGGGTGGATCGACTGCATTTTTTTGGACTGCAAGAAGGCCTTCGACACAGTTCCTCACAAGAGGTTACTGCAAAAGCTAGAGGATCAGGCACACATAACAGGAAAGGCACTGCAATGGATCAGAGAATACCTGACAGGGAGGCAACAACGAGTCATGGTACGTGACGAGGTGTCAGAGTGGGAGCTTGTGACAAGCGGGGTTCCACAGGGGTCAGTCCTAGGACCTGTGTTGTTCTTGGTATATGTGAACGACATAACGGAAGGGATAGACTCAGAAGTGTCCTTGTTTGCAGATGATGCGAAGTTAATGAGAAGAATCAAATCGGATGAGGATCAGGCAGGACTACAAAGAGACCTGGACAGGCTGGAAGCGTGGTCCAGCAACTGGCTCCTTGAGTATAACCCTGCCAAATGCAAAGTCATGAAGATTGGGGAAGGGCAAAGAAGACCGCAGACACAATATAGTTTAGATGGTCAAAGACTGCAAACCTCACTCAAGGAAAAAAATCTGGGGGTGAGTATAAGACCGAGTATATCTCCTGAGGCGCACATCAATCAGATAACTGCTGCAGCATACGGGCGCCTGGCAAACCTACGGATAGCGTTCCGATACCTCAGTAAGGATTCGTTCAAGACTCTGTATACCATTTACGTCAGGCCCATACTGGAGTATGCAGCACCAGTTTGGAATCCACACTTAGTCAAGCACGTCAAGAAATTAGAGAAAGTGCAAAGGTTTGCAACAAGACTAGTCCCAGAGCTACGGGGATTGTCCTACGAAGAAAGGTTGAGGGAAATCGGCCTGACGACACTGGAGGACAGGAGGGTCAGGGAGACATGATAACGACATATAAAATACTGCGCGGAATAGACAAGGTGGACAAAGACGGGATGTTCCAGAGAAGGGACACAGACACAAGAGGTCACAATTGGAAGTTGAAGACTCAGATGAATCAAAGGGATGTTAGGAAGTATTTCTTCAATCATAGAGTAGTCAGGCCGTGGAATAGCCTAGAAAGTGACGTAGTGGAGGTGGGAACCATACATAGTTTTAAGGCGAGGTATGATAAAGCTCATGGGGCAGGGAGAGAGAGAGGACCTAGTAGCAATCAGCGAAGAGGCGGGGCCAGGAGCTATGAATCGACCCCTGCAACCACAAATAGGTGATTACAAATTACACACACACACACACACACACACACACACACACACACAATATATATTATATATATATATATATATTATATATATATAATTATATATATATATATATTATATATTATTTAATAATATATATATATATATATATATTATATATATTAATATATATATATATATATTATATAACATTATTTATTATTCTCAGTACACAGCAGGATTCGAACCTGCACACTTAATCAAAGTACGTAGTATTTAGCCACTCGGCCAGATCCCGAGTGGCGTAAGCACTACGCGCTGATGAAACATATCGCCCGTTTGCGATATATTTTTACAGCACATAAGCCGCACATTAAGATAAATTAAAATAAAAATTACTTTTAAGATAAATAAAAGTGAAAATCAAAGTCATTACAGCGAGGTATCGTGAGCGTGTGGGGCCATGTTGTGTCATGCAGTGGCATGTGGGGGCCATGTAGGGCCATGATGTGCCATGTATGGGCCACGTGGGGCCATGTGCCATGCAGTAGCATGTGGGGGCCATGTTGTGCCATGTGGGGGCCATGTAGGGCTAGGCTGTGCCATGCAGTGCCATGTGTGGCCATGTGAGGTCATGTAGTGCCATGTGCTAATTTTCCAAAGAGCTCAACTTACCGTTCTTGTGGCGCACCATGTGGTGACGGTGGTGCCAGAAGCCTCTGAAGGGTGCCACCCCGGTGCCAGGCCCCACCAGGATGATTGGAACACTCGGGTCTTGTGGCATATGGAAACTTGTAGCACTGAAAAATAAAATTGCATTGTGAATGTACCGGAGGACACGGGAAAGAAAAAAGAAACACGAGATCGCGTAAGACAAATAAATCTATCAGAAGATTTTTACCTTCGAGAAAGTTATATACAATATTATCATGGCATCCATATCATATTTAGTTATTCTTTTTTCAGCACCTCTGTTAGCAAACTGAATATGTTACTTCGTTTAAATTATTGTGTTGCACTCCTAAACACGATCTTTATTTTACCCGTAGTCTTAGTAAATCATGACAACTTTTTACAGTTACATTGGAGGGTATCTTTCAATTGCTGGTTAGCAATTTCTGTCGACAAGTGTTATCAGGAGTGTTTGGCTAGCGAGTCTTAACTGTCACAATGTTCCTCCTCTCTGTAGAGCTTTATCGAGCAATGTTTCGCTGTGTAGAGCTTTATAAGACATAACTTGATAACGCTCTATACTGAGCCAAATTTGTCCAGAATGAAGACTTTGGTAGCAGTTTATTTACGAGGTTTCTTCCTACCTGGTGACCTCCCACTTGTAATAAACAAACACCTTTTACTCACCTTCTAACGAAAAGTTCAACGTGGTCACCTGGCGACACCTGCTTCAAGAAATTGGAACAGACACCATAGTGGAGCTGCCCTTTTCCATCTGAAAAACAATAACAAACTTTCTGGTTACTTTTAAGAAACTAAACTTCAATCTAAATACGTACTTTGATTTCTTTCAAATTGCTCTAATCCTCGTGTAGTTTTAATTTAATAGCTAAATTATTAACAATGCTCTGTGTTCAATATATTGGTGATTTTTTTGAGTTCCATTGAAACTGAGTGGAACCCAAACAGCATCAGTACAGTTAGTTTAAATATCTTCATTATGCACCTCATACCCATGGTGTGGGAGGTAGTCAAAAGATTACAGAGGCACATAATGGGTCCAGGGATTAGGCCGCAAAGTTTTAATAGCTAAACAAGGTACAGTGCAGGAGAATTCAATAATTCAATATAATCCCCCCCAGTCGTTTCAAAATTTCATTCAGTGCTAGTAGTCCAGAAAATCAAATGAAAATCTCATACCATGTTTTTATATAAGGAATAACTGGGACAAGAACCACCAAGTAAACCACGCTAATGGCGACATTTCGGTCCCTCATGAGTCATTAGCAAGATTTACAAGGAAATCGTTCTCGCTTCATTTATTTATTTTACTGGGAAGTTTAAGGTGTGAATTCAACAAATATCTTGCAAAAATTATGGCGTTATTCGATATTTCATTAAAAAAAAGACGATACATAACTTGCACTTTCTATTATACTGAACAAAAATTTACAATATCATTCTAGACAACAACTTACCTTCTGAACAAAAAAGTTACGCTATCATTCTGGGCAACAACTCTGAATAAAAATTAACACTATTATTCTGAACAACAACTGAAAGACTAAATGCGACTATGAAATTAAAGTTGCTAATGAATCAAAGAGTTCTTTCAAGTGTATAGGAGAAGTCAGGGAAAAAGTAGGACCTCTGAGAGTTGGAGATGGACAGCATACGTCTCCTGGCGCTGAAAACTTATTACACTGTTATTCCTAAGAACTTACACTCTGTATTATACTGGACAACAGCGACGGTGACGTGGATCTGGCCTGGATGAGCTTCTGGCGAGGAGCTGATGGAGTAGAAGCGAGGTCCAAGTGACGGCAGCTGTGTGAGCAGCAGACCAGCGTCCAACATAACGCTCGGGAACTCCTCAAGCACCTCCTTCAGGTGTGGATATCTGAAGTGCTTCCAGTCCTCGTACTCGTGAGCATCCTGCACCACAACATGAGACGATTGGATCCAAGTGACTTGCTGACCACGGCAGTAGGAAATTATATTCATAACTAAGCGCTAAACCCACAAGGGTCAAACAGGGTAGTGGAGAACTTTTTCTGCAACATGTCTTTTTCCACAGGCTAAGTAACCCCTAGACAGCTTTATCTCAAAGGCATCACTCCCCTAGATACAAAATTCATTACCAGCCTCTTTGCTACTGCCTCTCCAGACACCCAGACCTCAAACTGCATAGTTCATTTTTCAACCTGTTTAACTGCACTAATTTCTGAACAAAAAAGCACAATAGAATATACAGCTATTTTAATAAATTAATTAATTTAAATAATAGGTTCAACCCCCACCCGTTCCGTGATTTGATTTGCCAATTACTAAAACTATGCCTCATTAGTTGCACCCATAATGTAGCTCTTCACGTCATGTTCTCACCGTGGCAAGTTGATCCAGGCGAGTGCGCTGGTCATTATCATAAGCATACTCAGCCAGGAAGTGGAGAAAGTTTGGTGTGGGAGGTGTTGTGATGTCTAGGTATCGTGTGAGCATCTCCCTCACACTGGCTGACGGTAGTCGCTCGTGTGACTCCCAAGTCTGTGTTATACCTGAAAAGGATTACAAAATAACAAAGTATTAACATCTAATTTATTTCTTAATCTGACTGCTGAAAGTAGCCATTTAGAAGTGAATTATCGAGTCGACAGTAAATTGTCCAGAAGCCTGACTGAAGTTTATACTAATTGCCTCTAAATATTATATATTTCAAGTATAGTTTTGTGTATCTAAGACATTAAATAACAAGAGGGTTAATAAAAGGTCTTAATTAAAGTATGAATGTAACATTATTCATCAAATTTGATTAAGAATTTTACACTGGAAATAGCTTTCTTAAACAATAAATGGAACTCGCAACCTTATTTTTCCGAAAAGACCATAGGTACAAAATTTTCAAGCAAATTGTTTTCCTCATCCAATAATGGAAGCAATGTACGCTTTAAAGTCAACTGAGGAAAATGTCAAGACTGAGTAAGGCGACTCTTCCATCATGCAGTTCAGGTGGGAACACGCGTTTGTCATCAAATATTACAAGTGATACAAAGAATAAAAACAAATAGTTTAAACTGAAACAATACCCAAAGCTGACCTAAACTGGTAGTATCTTCCTTAGTGACTTTTAAAATTAATATTTGGAATATAATATCACAGTTCACAACTAAACCACAAACTGAAAATGCTTACTAAATGACGATGTCTTCCACTCTAAGCCATCAGATTGGCATAATTAATCTAGAATGTACCGGAACGTCGCTCCACTTTCAATTTAAGGATATATGTCAACAGTCAATATAGTATATACTCAAACAACATGCAACACAAAGGTTTTTACCATTAAGTGAGTGTATTTCTTTGAGTAGCAGCACCTTGATAGGTTGGTCAGGGTCGGGGCAGTTGTCCAGACGACTCAAGACAGCTTGAACAATCTCCGGGGAGTTAGCAGGGAGAATAGAAACATGGTACCCGGGACGTACTTACCTCAGTTATCCCTTTCAGTACCGGACCCCCTTTTGGTCCCCGGGCTGGTAGAGGACAAAAAAAACACTGAAAACTTAACAAGATGTGACTAAGTAGCAGTCTTTTAAAATGCGATACAAAGATATATTGTACTTCAGTTTTAATTAAAGCTCCCCAAAAAACAAGCATCACTGAAAAAGAACTCTGCGTAGTTTTAAAATAAGTTGGGGGGGGGAGGAGGTTAGTTGGGGCTATCAAACAGGGCCCCAATAGGCCTACTGCGTGTTCCAATCTTATGTTTATATCCCCCTATAATACAACATAAGGCCCCCGAAATGTATTTACACGTTTCAAACATCCCGGGGAAAGGGTGGGGTCTAAAACCGGGGCGAGTGACTCACTTCCCCCAGGGCATCAAACACCACCCGTTCCGTGGTTTGAAATATAATGACTTTATAATACAGCAGTAATAAGAGGATATTAAACCATCCCCCCGGCCGGGATTGAACCCGCGGTCTGGCCAAAAACTCCACCCCGGCGTAACCCAGCCCGCTGCCACAATAAGTTTCACCCAAACTAGTATTTCTACACCATAGGGGGTTTAGCACGGACCTCTGTACCACAAATGCAATTTTTTAAACAGACGAACCCCCAAAAGCGTGGCCGTGACAACTAGAGTGTCACGGCCACGCTACTGGAGATTCGCTGTAAAAACTTGCATTTGTGGCACAGAGGTGCCTGTCTAACCTTCCCATGGTGTAAAAAAAAACCAGTTGGATGAATTTATTGGGTAGCTGGCTAGTGGGTTTGCGCGACGGGCTGGGGTTTTGAGGACTCATGACGCGGGGGTTAATCCCGGCCCCGGGGGGAGGTTTTTTTTGCAATCGTGTCATTACGATTTCTTTAAATCAAAGGATATTATAGCAATAAGGGTTGCTGTAATGAGTAAGGGATCAACTATGTAGTGAATGCTCGAAACCCAAAAAGTTTGAAATCAGACATGTTCAACACTTGGGCATTTTTACTGAGGAAACATTTCGCTACACAGTGGCTTCATCAGTCCCGTACAAAGAAGAATGGAGAAAATTAGGAGGAGTTTGAGGTAATCAGTCCCTTAGCCTAGAGTCGATTTAATCGGTCCATCAGTCTTGAAGAAGGCTACACAGTAGACACTCAGGAGTACGAGGATAGAAAGGATTTATACAACTATACGACCGCCTCCGACTACCGCAGCACACACAGCTACAACACCACCTCCTTCAACCTTCCTGAACCAGTGACCCCAGAATTAATGTACTATGATAAGCCTCCTCCTGACGATCCCAACGATAGGAGGTTTTACACGATGGAACAAGTTTTTGGCAGGACAGCTAAAATCAGGCGGAAATTAGGCCTGGATTGTGATTCAGAGGAATTGTAAACTGGGGAGAAGAAATCCAAAATCAAGAATCCAAAATCCCCGTTAGAAAGCGGGTTTGGAACATTTTTAAGCATCATCCATCCGGGTTCACTGTGGAAAACGTACGTTTATACTTTCATGTAAATAAGTTTATATACAAAATTCAAAATGCGTATAAAACATTTTTCGGTATTGTTCTTCTTCTTTGTGTTGTGATGGGTGCGAGTGTGTCCCTGGAGCAGCAGGGCATAGATGAGCGCCCATCCAAGGCTCGGCAGCAGCAGCAGCTGAAGCAGCTGCTGTTGCTACAGGACGAGTATAGGGGTGGTGGTCAGGTGCAGGAGAGCCGAAGTCGGTGGACAGGAGAGGGTAGAAGCAGGCCAGGAGCCACCTACGTCGACATCAGCCCCTCCGTCAACTGGATCCGCCGTCCCTACACTCATATGCCAAACGACAGGACGGAGCCCTATCACCCGGCACGAGGCACTCAGAGGTACGAGGACAGAAGGGACGTAGAGCTATATAACCAGACGACTGCCGTCAACTACCGCAGCACACAGAGGGTAGCCATCATGAGCTACAACACCACCAACTGGAACCCTCCTAAACCCCTGCTCGCAGAACAATTTGTGGACTATAACAAGCCTCCTCCTGACGATCCCAACGACAGAAGGGTGTGCACGATGGAACAAGTCTTTGGTAGGACAGCCATGACTAGGCTTAAACTAGGCCTGGACAAAAATTATACACTGGATATGAAAACCTACGAGAGGATACCCAAAAATGTGACAATAGTCTTAGTCCCCGTTAAAACGCGGGTTTGGAAAACCAATTTCATAAACATGTTGCGACGTGAGGAGTACGTGCCCATATATCCAAACTTTGACTATGATTATACCGTTGAGTTATCTTGTATTGGTCATAAGCCTCTATATTTTGTGCATCACTCGAACCAGTCTGCACCTCACGTCCGCACGCGCTGAACCTTCAGTTTCTTCTTCTAGACCTAAGACAACGGGTCCATCTTGATTATTACTTTTGCTGATAATTTCAAACTTCACGACTTTTTGTTAAAGATATTTTCGTTTTGAGTGGCCCGTGTGGGTCACTCAACACAAGGAGTGTGAAGGCTCAATCCCCCGTCCACTGGTCGCAAGGTGGACACTAACTGTACTAACACACCCCACCTGAGGAATGGAAATAGGGAAAATTTAGATTTAGATTTGGTCCGAGGAGAGAGAGAACAGCTTGGATGATGAGTGAAACTTGTGCAATCCACTACAAAGAAAAACAGGGAAGGTGTGAAGCACGAGTTGGGGAGATCAGTCCCTCAGCCTAGAGATGTGTTCAGTCCATTAACCTTGATAAAAGCACAGCATATCCTCGTCTTCATAAAGCCACTGGATGGCGAAACATTTCACCAATAAAGATACACAAGTGTTGGACAAGTGTCTCACTCACATGTTGCTTTTCTAAACCATTTATATAATATCAGATTCCTTGAATCATCTGCCTTTAGCCAGCATCTTGGTACTGCCGCTGAGAGAAACAATCACCTGAGAAAAACAGTGTTAACACTAACCTGGCATTCTCTCCATGAAGGTTCCTTGAAGCTATCACCTCGCACGATCTAACTCTCTTGCAGTGGGATCGAGAAAGTCCTTCAAAGCAAATATACATTAATGTTACAAGGAAACTTAAGTGGATCATTCAAAGTGAATAATTTTTTTTTTCATTTAGAAACAATCGAACAGTATAATACAAAGGATGAAGCTCAGCTCAGAATCGCATTGGACATAAGTTTAATGGAACGACAAGTTTGATCATTATCAACTTGGGACACACGAAGATAATAGGGGAAAGACAGTAGCAGAGCAAGCTTTTATTGATATATATATATATATATATATATATATATATATTTATATATATATTTATATTATATATATATATATATATATATATATATTATATAAAGTAAAAACAGGAACTGTTATGGATAGCATTTCGCTTTACAAAGATTATTATTATAATCAAGGGGAAGCGCTAAACCCGGAGGATTATACAGCGCCTGGGGGGGGGGGATGTGGAAGGCATTCAGGCTTAATTCGGGGAACTGGAGCACAGATCCAATTCCCTAAATCAAGAGCCCCTCACCAACATCAAGGAACCTTCCTTGAGGGGCGCTTTACAAAGAGCCAAACGTTATCACTAAAGCTTGCTATGCACCTGCGGTTTTCATTGCAAGCAGAACTCACCAATACTGCTGCCATTTTAGCACACGGGGAGAGGAACAGTGGAAATATGTCTTACCAACAGCTATATCATCAGTTTTGGCACAAGGAGAAAGCTTGATCTTATCAGCAGTTGCTGAGGTTTCCGTCTTGAGGGCTGCCGTTGCTTCCTTCATGGCCACATCATCATCAAGACAGAAGGTTTCACAGCCAACCTAAGCCACAAACAATAATTTTCAGATACAATGAACATTTTCATTGCCGATATGTTAAAAAAAAACTAAGACAATGAATGACTATTAGAGAATCAACAGAAAATTAAAAGAAAACTCAGACTGAGGAGGACAGTAGGAGGACCAAAAAGATTCAAGCATCCTCGTGGCTGAGTGGGTATGCTTTTGGATCTGTTACTTGCATGAACTCGGTTCGAGTCCTCGTCCATTCTTCCTTTATAACATATTTCGAGGTTTCTGACCAGTTTTGAGGTATTTTCTTGACAATTTGAAATTTTAGTTCCCCTTGATTCATAGATCTGAACTTTTTCTAGAGTAAATTTTAACGCATTCAAATGTCTGATTATTATACCCAAGTGTAAGTTCTAAACCCGTAGGGGGTCATGCAGCGCTTGAGAGATAGGGTATATTTAGATCTGATCTAAGGAAAGGGATGGTAGCTCCAGATCCTTGTATCAAGAGCCCTTCATTGAAATGTTTGATAGATCTGAAGTAGTGTTTCTGCCTTGTTAGTATCGGAAGGAGGAGTTGCTACTAAATGATGAAAATCATGCAAAGCATTACATTACTAAGCCCTTAGGGGTCATATAATGCCTGGGTGAAGAGAAGCAATCAGGTTTGATCCGAGGAAATTAAAAGGTCTAGTTCCTCGGATTAAGAGCCCCTCACATTGCTGGACTATCTACGGGAAATAGTTATACATAACAAGAAACTAGTGAGAGAGAGAGAGAGAGAGAGAGAGAGAGAGAGAGAGAGAGAGAGAGAGAGAGAGAGAGAGAGAGAGAGATAGAGAGAGAGGGCACCACTCACATTAAAAACATCTCCTGCCCACTTGTTAAAAGCTTGTTCCTGGCCAGCTAGCTCGTCACCACAGGTGAGCCTCAGCAGCCTCTCACCTCCCAGCTCACACAACAAGTTATCAACGTATTTACCAAAAGCGCAGAAGTTAGGGTAAGCGCTGGATCCCAGGGCAAACACAGCAAACCTGTGTTAACAAGGACACCAAATCAAACATTTTATGTATTAAAGAATAAGGTGGCAGGAGAAGTAGAATGTGTCCCCACACATGAGCCGGGTCACAGACCGGGCAGCGGGGCGTTGACCACAGAAACCTTCTCCAGGTATACACATGCACTTAGCCCAGGGCACACCTTCTTTCATATGATTTTTTGAAAATGGTCTTAGGTTGTCTGTACTGCAGAATCAGTAAGAATAGAAAAAACTTTAATAATATTAGTTACAGTAACGTGACTGGAACAATTCACAATTAAATCTTAAGTGGAACCGCAAAGTTTCCATCTATCTTGGACTAAGTTATTTAAGAGACACTGAAACTTAATAGATTACATTAATTCTTTGTGAATAAAGTGTTGATAATCTTTAAAATTTAATAAAAAAAATCTTAGATAAGCCTTATTTTTTCGTAACTTTTCGTGTCATGGAAACTAGTGAAAAATAAAATAAAATACCTATTAACTATTACATGAGGTATCTGAAGAAAGTGTCTATCCAAGTCTGAGTCTTTGAAGTTCACTATGGTTATGGGATGTGACAATTTACCTACCTGACGTTGCTGAGAGGTCCAAAGTTGTCTTCAGACATGATGTCTGAGGTGATGGAACCACGGACGTTGGAGTTAGCCACACCGTTCTCCTGAGTGCTAGTGGTGCCTCCTGCCCCCTCCGTCAGGCTGTTCATCCTCATGAAGGAGAGACTGCGATGCATGCTGAAGACACCCAAATATACTTCAGATTCCAGTGAATCAAATATTCACTTTGTTTGTCTAAGGTTAATATGAATATTTTATTAAATTTTGTTTGAATACTCTTCAACGAGACCTAAACAGAGTTCACGCTGAAGTTGTTACAATTGATATTCCCATCACTTGTGGTAAACATGTGGGGTATTATTTTGATCAATTTGGATTCAATTCTCGGTACGTCTCTCTTGAAAATATCTCTAGTTGAAATTAAATAAATGTGTGTAGAACTCTATATAATCCATGAATTATATAGATTTATAATAATTTATGCAGCCACGACATTGATGCATTGAGTACGTTGATTTGCAATGTACTCAATAAAATTTCCATAAAAGGTGAGCTCGTTTTATCTAGATAAAATTATCAGTGGAAATATTAAAAGATCTGGTATTGTTAGGTACCTTGAAGGATTACCTTTATGTGGATCACAGAATTATTTTCGTTCTTCCTTCAAGGCTTTTGTTTATAACTTAAGAACGCTTCTCCAGACTGGCTTCAAATTTTCAACTCTGGTGTACTACGACTAGAGTAAGGTTCATGCTGCTACTGGCATCTGCAGGCGCCCTCTGGTCAGTTTTATATAGACCATTTCTGATTTTGGTTTTCGTGGGATAACTTGAAGAAGCCTCTTCTGACTGGCTTCAGACACACTGGTGTATCTAATTTTATTATTTAGGATGACTGAAATAGAAGTTTTCAAAGAAGAATCTGTGAATGCCGCATCCGATAAGCTGCAAACCTTCACTGCTGATAACTTTCTTAAAGGATTTGAACTTAAAGTGATGGTATACTTTTGGATATCGGTCTTGTGCACTGACTAGAGAATGTCGCTTTTGACTGACTCTAAATTTACAAAGCCGTTGTATCTTAGTGGAAATTTTAAATTGTTATTTATTGGCAATGTAGGGAGCCAATTTGCCATTTTTTTTATAGAAGAAATTTGGATTCTAATTTCCATGCGAATACTTGTGAATATATCTTCTGATTTGCTTCAGATCTTCAATACTGATATTTAAATGCATTTAGAAATATATGCCACACTGTACTACTGCTCCTTTGCGTGCACTGAAGTAGAGGAGGCTGGGCTGAAGGAATACGGGGATAGCTTTCTTGGATCTAGCAGCCACCGAAACATCTTCTTTATTTACTGACCAAGCAGTGAGATTGCTTTAACACAAGTGGAAGACAGACATGCGGAAGATAGAGGAATACATTGTCAACGAGGATACTGTGTGATGGAAACACCTGATAGCGTACAAGGGTACCCGGTTATGCTTCTACATGTGCCAGCTATATCTGAGTGCATAATTACAGGTGTACAAATAGGTTAACAAATACACATATCGCCTACTTACAGTACATTCGCCACAAGTTACACTCATCCCTACTTACAAACGAGGCGCTTAGCACCAATTAAAGTCTTAAGACTGCCGAGCTATTGTACCAGGGTGTAGGAAGCCATCTTCTGTATTATTGTGTATATTCAGACTTTTCAAAGATAAAATACAAATTCAGAACTTCTCATAAGTTCGGGACTTTGTATTTATAAACGAATAATACTGGAAGAAAGAGATGAAAAGTAAAACGCCATTTAGAAGTGTCCACTAGTATTATCATGCTTGTTACTCTACAAGAACATCAGAGCACGATGTTAGTCACTCAAGGCTAAAAGTTAATTTTAATTAGTCCAACCTTTCTTATGCACAATGCCAACAACAACAACCTTTCTATAAACATATTAGTTGACACTAAATACAGGTAAGTTTCCCATATGTAAACATTACAGTGAGCGGTCACCTGAAGACTGACTCGTTCCCCCTTCCAGGAAAACTAAATTTATAGATAAGTTTGGTATATTAAGCAATGTTTATATGACGTAAATTTTAGCAAGGTTAAGTTGCAAAAATAACTTCCGGTGCTAAACTTAATAATAATGATATATAAGAATTTGTATAGGTATTTTCCTCGCTAAGTCGGAGGGAACAGAGGTTGTTCAATATTTTGCCACTGTAATCAACTTAATACACATGTACCATAAACTACGCACAAAACTACTTATGACACATAATAATTACACTCGTGGTTAGGTTGCATGCTGTATCTGAACTTAAATTTTCAGTTTAATACCATGCACAAAGAAAGTACAACTAAGTGCGAAAGAAACAGCGAAACTTAAAGTTGCTGAGACAAACACGAAGCTGATATTTGTAGACTTTAATTTGTTTGTAACTGTTACATGTATTATGAATGTGTCCTTACCGTGTACATCGCTCTGTGCAAGCATTACCGTGTACATCGCTCTGTGCAAGCATTACCGTGTACATCGCTCTGTGCAAGCATTACCGTGTACATCGCTCTGTGCAAGCATTACCGTGTACATCGCTCTGTGCAAGCATTACCGTGTACATCGCTCTGTGCAAGCATTACCGTGTACATCGCTCTGTGCAAGCATTACCGTGTACATCGCTCTGTGCAAGCATTACCGTGTACATCGCTCTGTGCAAGCATTACCGTGTACATCGCTCTGTACAAGCATTACCGTGTACATCGCTCTGTACAAGCACTACTCTAAAGGATTTAAATACTGTGCGTCATCAACTGCAATTTATTCAGCCTACATGTTTTAGCCTTTAAGTAATCAATGTAAATTAATGAATGATTACGTGTAATTATCTATGGGGGGGGGGGGGGGAGAAAGGCGGAGGGAAGTGGTGGCGGTGGGGGGAATATTAATAAGGAATATTTAGAGTATGAAATGGGAGATATAACTAATAACAGAAGTTTCCTTACTGGTTCGTAATCTACAAGAATAGTCGTCCTAAATAGATTTAGACTGTTTATATAATGCAAATATTTCCCATTAGGTTCTTATAATAATGAGTTTGTTTTTCAAATTTAAATCACATCCCTCCAGAATATGATTACTCTCTCGTATTTATCCCACAACCAATGAAGTACCTCGAGCACTATAAGCTCTGTATATAATGTAATTATTTCATCATATACGGGAGATATATTCTAAAGTCTGGAAAATTTTGATCAGTGTTGAGTATGTGCGCTTGTTGGGGCCGTGTGATAATACTAAATTAACCACGGAACGGGTCAGACTTGAATCGAAGACAAGTGAGTCTTAAAACTCACAGGCCAGTCCGTGAACCACTCGGCCAGCTGGTTAACAATAGTCGCCAGTGAGTGAACCACTCGGCTAGCTGGTTAACAACACTCGCCAGTGAGTGAACCACTCGGCCAGCTCGTTAGTAACACTCACCAGTGAGTGAACCACTCGGCCAGCTGGTTAACAACACTCACCAGTGAGTGAACCACTCGGCCAGCTCGTTAGTAACACTCACCAGTGAGTGAACCACTCGGCCAGCTGGTTAACAACACTCACCAGTGAGTGAACCACTCGGCCAGCTCGTTAGTAACACTCACCAGTGAGTGAACCACTCGGCCAGCTGGTTAACAACACTCACCAGTGAGTGAACCACTCGGCCAGCTGGTTAACAACACTCACCAGTGAGTGAACCACTCGGCCAGCTGGTTAACAACACTCGCCAATGAGTTTCAAGAATCACTTACCATGGACTCAAATCCCACCCATTCCGTGATTTGTATGCAATCGTGTAAATGATTTTGTGAGTCATAACACTATATTATGATGTATGTGTAGTGCTTCTACGACCATATAAGTGTTCCTCAAGAAGCTGTAATGGTTGGCTGTCAGACTCACCTCTTCTGTGCAGAGTAGTCCTGCCAATATGATGCACTACCAGGAGATAAGCAAAAGAAAATGCACAATGATGACTACTGCAAGATACATATAGATTCCTGAGTGACCAAAAAAAAAATATCTTCCCCCTTACAAAATTCTTCCAAAATATAGCATCACATGCTTGTCAAAATGACTGACTGACTGCATCATTCAAGCCAATTATAGCGTCATTCAAAAGGAAAATATACATTGTAAATATATCTTTGGTCTTATTCTTCACACTAAGTTAATTCTGCTTTTCAAACTTAGATCAAACTTATTTTAGGAATCACAGTTTAAAAACCTGAACAATTGTGAAGAAATTTTTTTAAATTTAAAGAAAACATTTAAACATTAATCAGACTATTGAGTTCCAGTTCACATCTGTAATATAAGATAATGTTTAATCAGCTAAACAAATTATGCAAAATAAATTCATTCTTTAAAGTATTTAAAGCCAAAAAAATAAAAATAAGCTACAGACGGCTATGGCCAAGCAAACACATGTAAAATTTGTGAAAAACATTGTTGATTTAGTTATGCAAATGACATCAATGAAAGTTTTGATAAGCCGAGTGGTCAAAATGTTATATTATGATTTTTAATTTACTGTTGGTATATTGGAATAAATGTGACTTTAAAACTGGGTTTCCTTGTTGCTTTCTCATTGTGGCCATTACAACTCCACAAGATTTTGTCAAAACTTTTAACTAGGTAGAAGTTTTTTTAACACATGGGCTGCTTCCCACCAAGGCAGGTGACCCGAAAAAGAAGGAGAAACACTTTCATCATCACTCAGTCCATCACTGTCTTGCCAGAGGCGTCCCGGTGCTACAATTAAAAAATTGTAAGAGATCTCCACCCCTCCTTATAAATAAATTTGCTTTATAAAGCCCTAGAAAGAGCACAATGTTGTCGCTAAAGCTTTTTACTGAACCTGTCTCCTTTAATCAGTTTGAGGCTGAAATAGGGTTAACCCATTTTATCTGTGGCTTCATTGCCTCACTCTGGGTTAGATACGTAGGTCTACAAAACTGGAAGACACACCAAAGCTTAACAAAACTCTAAATGATGCGACTCACCTCCACAAGGATAAATATACTTAGCCTGGCGTGTCTGTAGAATAAACCCTTGTGATTACTACATTACAGACTGGTAAAGCCGGAAGGGGTTATAAAGGCACCTATGTAATGGCAGGCAACCAGGTTCGATCAGAGGGTAGAGAAGTTAGCGTCAACTTCATGGTTGAAAGTCTTCGTTTGGTTCAAGGCAACTCCATGATGGAACCTCAAAAACCCGCACATAGGAGAATTATTATTATAATCATAACTAAGCGCTCAACCCACAAGGGTCATACAACGCTGCACACAGAAAAACTTATGACAACGTTTCGGCCCGATTTCTACCATTTACTAGTCACAATATTGTGCCTTTTATTGTGTTGAAGATGGATGAACTGGGACTAAGTCTCTGGACCCATTATGTACCTCCATAACCTGTTGACTACCACCCACACCATGGATTCTGGGAGGATAATACATATATTATACTAACTTATGGCCCGGTGGCCTGGTGGCTAAAGCTCCCGCTTCACACACGGAGGGCCCGGGTTCGATTCCCGGCGGGTGGAAACATTTCGACAAGTTTCCTTACACCTGTTGTCCTGTTCACCTAGCAGCAAATAGGTACCTGGGTGTTAGTGGACTGGTGTGGGTCGCATCCTGGGGGACAAGATTAAGGACCCCAATGGAAATAAGTTAGACAGTCCTCGATGACGCACTGACTTTCTTGGGTTATTCTGGGTGGCTAACCCTCCGGGGTTAAAAATCCGAACGAAATCTTATCTTATCTTATCTTGTCTCTCTCTCTCTAGCTCTCTCTCTCTCTCTCTCTCTCTAGCTCTCTCTCTCTCTCTCTCTCTCTCTCTCTCTCTCTCTCTCGTCCTCTAAATACAACCAGACTGTAAATACAATGTTCAGATCACCACTAAAAGAAAATTTATATACAGTCTGGCTTTGGCTCAGCTGAATTTCTTTCACGAAATGCTAAAACCATAAGGGTTAATTCAGCGAAAAAGAAAGTGGAGACTTGATCCTTCGTCTTCTTATATTAAAGTGCATAATGTTCTTGTGGCCATTATAGTTTACCATTATTATTAAACTAGTGAAATGATAAAAAATATAATTCTAGAACTTGTTGTTAGTTTTTGAATTAAGTTGCGTAGCAGATGTCTAGCAGAAACATAGAGGTGAAAGAGTTTCAGAAAAAATGCTTATTTTTTTATTATCGCTAAACCCGCGTGAGTCATTCAGTGCATGGACTTGAGGACCGATCCTCCCTCTCTGGCCAGTGAGGTTGCTGGATCAGTTTTAGCACAAGGAGTGGCGGAGGATCGATCCTCTGTTCTGTAATCGCTGGCAACAAATGTTGAGGAGAGCAGCCAAGATGAAGCATCAGTATGTTGGACTCACCTGCTGGTGACATCGTCGATGTCCGCAGCGGTGCCGCTCACCTTCATGGCGTACAAGTTCTTGGCGAAGTCCTGGCAGGAGAAGCCATTTTAAAATACCACAGGGAGGGGATTCTAAAGTAAAGATCGAAATAACAATAAAACCAATAACAACAAAAGTATTAACTAACAATTTTGCAGCGGCCAGATAAAGACGTAATGCAAATAATGTTAAATATGAATGATTATCCGAACTTCTTTTGAGAAACTGAAGAGTCAATAAAATTCCAAGACACAATACCGTGACTGAAACAATACACAAACAACTCGTACATAGGAGGAAGAAACTGATGATGACTACGTTTCGGTCCTACTTGGGTTCTTTGTGTAATGAACTTCGGTAATTGTATTAGTATAAATGTATGCAGGTAATGGGGAATATTTCAGAATATATGATAACAAAATTAAGCTTCGGCTCGAAAAAAAAACTTGTGTGCAATTGTCTGGCAGATGATTGATAAGTGACACATAATTCCTATAAGGTGATGAGTTAGATACATGTGCAATAGCTATGTATCTTTACTGTCGACGTTTTTCGACCGTAAAGACAGCCAGTTGATGGACATGCGTCTAACTCTTGTGGTTAATTTAAAAACTTCAGATCACAATTACAAAAGTTTACAACAATTTAGAGTTCAATTGGAGAGCACTCTTAAAACTTTAAGTAATAAATATGATACTCTTCGAGTGAGAGAGTCGTGGCAGCGTGCACACCTGACCTCACACTGAGACAGTTGTGGCAGCGTGCACACCTGACCTCACACTGAGACAGTCGTGGCAGCGTGCACACCTGACCTCACACTGAGACAGTCGTGGCAGCGTGCACACCTGACCTCACACTGAGACAGTTGTGGCCCCGTGCACACCTGACCTCACACTGAAACAGTTGTGGCACCGTGCACACCTGACCTCACACTGAGACAGTTGTGGCACCGTGCACACCTGACCTCACACTGAGACAGTTGTGGCACCGTGCACACCTGACCTCACACACACTAACACACAAATCTTAAGAGTTACATGTACCTTCACATATTTGTACTTGAAGAAGACTCTTCTGGAGAAATCCTGGAGAGGATAAACAGAGACATCAACACACTTCATGCACTAGAAATACTCAGTAAAAAATTAAAATGGGAAAGTTGTTGCATGCCGAAATAAAAAATTAATAACTACATAGGCATAATGTATTTATTACATTTATTCTAAGCTAGCAAGGATCATACAACGTCTGGATAAATGGAGATAATCAGGTTTGATCCAAGGGAATGACAGCTTCATTTCCTTAATTCAAGACTTTTCACTAGCATCACTGAACCTCCTTGGAGGACCAAGAACTGTAAACACCGCTTGTATAGTTTCTATATTATTTTTATACTCACATAAAACGCTAAACCCACACAGGTCATAAAGTGTTGCAAGACTGAGGGCAGAGATCCCTCCAAAAGTTAAGTAGTTTAAAAGGGGAGAACTTACGAGGTAAGAAGGAAAGTCAAAGTTGGTCTAACAAGTCGGTCATTGAGTGTGTTCATGGAGGTAGGAAACAGGCAGAGAGGGGGGCCCCCCTGACAGAATGACAGAGCCCTTGACAGAGTGAGAGAGGGCCCCAGACAGAATGAGAGGGCCTAACAGAGCGAGAGAGGGAGCCTGGCAGAGTGAGAGAGGTCCTCTGACAGAATGACAGGGTCCCTGACAGAGTGAGAGAGGGACCTTGACAGAATGAGAGGGGCCCCTGATAGAGTGAGAGAGGGCCCCGACAGAGTGAGAGAGGGACCCCTGCCGCTGGAAAATATACTGGAAATTACTAAGTGCTCTGTGATAAATGGAACAATGCTCCTCATGGTGGGACCCCTGGCTCACATGCTCCTCATGGTGGGACCCCTGGCTCACATGCTCCTCATGGTGGGACCCCTGGCTCACATGCTCCTCATGGTGGGACCCCTGGCTCACATGTTCCTCATGGTGGGACCCCTGGCTCACATGCTCCTCATGGTGGGACCCCTGGCTCACATGCTCCTCATGGTGGGACCCCTGGCTCACATGCTCCTCATGGTGGGACCCCTGGCTCACATGCTCCTCATGGTGGGACCCCTGGCTCACATGCTCCTCATGGTGGGACCCCTGGCTCACATGCTCCTCATGGTGGGACCCCTGGCTCACATGCTCCATGGTGGGACCCCTGGCTCACATGCTCCTCATGGTGGGACCCCTGGCTCACATGCTCCATGGTGGGACCCCTGGCTCACATGCTCCTCATGGTGGGACCCCTGGCTCACATGCTCCATGGTGGGACCCCTGGCTCACATGCTCCTCATGGTGGGACCCCTGGCTCACATGTTCCTCATGTTGGGACCCCTGGCTCACATGTTCCTCATGTTGGGACCCCTGGCTCACATGCTCCTCATGGTGGGACCCCTGGCTCACATGCTCCTCAGGGTTGAGACCCCTGGCTCACATGCTCCTCATGGTGGGACCCCTGGCTCACATGCTCCTCATGGTGGGACCCCTGGCTCACATGCTCCTCATGGTGGGATCCCTGGTTCACATGTTCCTCATGGTGGGACCCCTGGCTCACATGCTCCTCATGGTGGGACCCCTGGCTCACATGCTCCTCATGGTGGGACCCCTGGCTCACATGCTCCTCATGGTGGGACCCCTGGCTCACATGCTCCTCATTGTGGGACCCCTGGCTCACATGTTCCTCATGGTGGGACCCCTGGCTCACATGCTCCTCATGGTGGGACCCCTGGCTCACATGCTCCTCATGGTGGGACCCCTGGCTCACATGCTCCTCATGGTGGGACCCCTGGCTCACATGCTCCTCATGGTGGGACCCCTGGCTCACATGCTCCTCATGGTGGGACCCCTGGCTCACATGCTCCATGGTGGGACCCCTGGCTCACATGCTCCTCATGGCGGGACCCCTGGCTCACATGCTCCTCATGGTGGAACCCCTGGCTCACATGCTCCATGGTGGGACCCCTGGCTCACATGCTCCTCATGGTGGGACCCCTGGCTCACATGCTCCTCATGGTGGGACCCTTGGCTCACATGCTCCTCATGGTGGGACCCCTGGCTCACATGCTCCTCATGGTGGGATCCCTGGCTCACATGCTCCTCATGGTGGGACCCCTGGCTCACATGCTCCTCATGGTGGGACCCTGGCTCACATGCTCCTCATGGTGGGACCCCTGGCTCACATGCTCCTCATGGTGGGACCCCTGGCTCACATGCTCATCATGGTGGGACTCCTTGCTCACATGCTCTCCTCATGGTGGGATCCCTGGCTCACATGCTCATCATGGTGGGACCCCTGGCTCACATGCTCCTCATGGTGGGACCCCTGGCTCACATGTTCCTCATGGTGGGACCCCTGGTTCACATGCTCCTCATGGTGGGACCCCTGGATCACATGCTCCTCATGGTGGGACCCCTGGCTCACATGCTCCTCATGGTGGGACCCCTGGCTCACATGTTTCCTCATGGTGGGACTCCTGGTTCACATGCTCCTCATGGTGGGACCCCTGGATCACATGCTCCTCATGGTGGGACCCCTGGCTCACATGCTCCTCATGGTGGGACCCCTGGTCACATGTTCCTCATGGTGGGACCCCTGGTTCACATGCTCCTCATGGTGGGACCCCTGGTTCACATGCTCCTCATGGTGGGACCCCTGGCTCACATGCTCCTCATGGTGGGACCCCTGGCTCACATGCTCCTCATGGTGGGACCCTTGGCTCACATGCTCCTCATGGTGGGACCCCTGGCTCACATGCTCCTCATGGTGGGATCCCTGGCTCACATGCTCCTCATGGTGGGACCCCTGGCTCACATGCTCCTCATGGTGGGACCCCTGGCTCACATGCTCCTCATGGTGGGACCCCTGGCTCACATGCTCCTCATGGTGGGACCCCTGGCTCACATGCTCATCATGGTGGGGCTCCTGGCTCACATGCTCCTCATGGTGGGATCCCTGGCTCACATGCTCATCATGGTGGGACCCCTGGCTCACATGCTCCTCATGGTGGGACCCCTGGCTCACATGTTCCTCATGGTGGGACCCCTGGTTCACATGCTCCTCATGGTGGGACCCCTGGATCACATGCTCCTCATGGTGGGACCCCTGGCTCACATGCTCCTCATGGTGGGACCCCTGGCTCACATGTTCCTCATGGTGGGACTCCTGGTTCACATGCTCCTCATGGTGGGACCCCTGGCTCACATGCTCATCATGGTGGGACTCCTGGCTCACATGCTCCTCATGGTGGGATCCCTGGCTCACATGCTCATCATGGTGGGACCCCTGGCTCACATGCTCCTCATGGTGGGACCCTGGCTCACATGTTCCTCATGGTGGGACCCCTGGTTCACATGCTCCTCATGGTGGGACCCCTGGATCACATGCTCCTCATGGTGGGACCCCTGGCTCACATGCTCCTCATGGTGGGACCCCTGGCTCACATGTTCCTCATGGTGGGACTCCTGGTTCACATGCTCCTCATGGTGGGACCCTGGATCACATGCTCCTCATGGTGGGACCCCTGGCTCACATGCTCCTCATGGTGGGACCCCTGGCTCACATGTTCCTCATGGTGGGACTCCTGGTTCACATGCTCCTCATGGTGGGACCCCTGGATCACATGCTCCTCATGGTGGGACCCCTGGTTCACATGCTCCTCATGGTGGGACCCCTGGCTCACATGCTCCTCATGGTGGGACCCCTGGCTCACATGCTCCTCATGGTGGGACCCCTGGCTCACATGCTCCTCATGGTGGGACCCCTGGTTCACATGCTCCTCATGGTGGGACCCCTGGTTCACATGCTCCTCATGGTGGGACCCCTGGATCACATGCTCCTCATGGTGGGACCCCTGGCTCACATGCTCCTCATGGTGGGACCCCTGGCTCACATGCTCCTCATGGTGGGACCCCTGGCTCACATGCTCCTCATGGTGGTTACTAAAAGTTTTTAAGTTGAGAACTAAAACTTTTTAATGAAAAACGACCATGCAAAACAAACGCTACTAAAAGAAAATATACAGTATAAAACATATTTACCTGGATTCAATTTCTTCGGAGAAATGTTCATCGACTCGTTAGTATTTTATCTCAGATAATCCATATGATTAGAGCAAAATAAAAATATTTTGTGGGAAGCTCTGGCTTGCAATCACTCACTGATTTTCTGATAACGATGTTAACAACTGTACATACAGCTGTTTCATGGTCACAGTTCATACATAAACTGCTTTACAGCTGTTACCTTATTAATAGACTGAAAAAAATGTGACAGAAAAGCTAATATGCTGTTTTTAAAAATCTATCACAAATTAACATTAAGAATAGTCTATCTGCAAAATAATGTTTAAAAAAAAAACTTACGTTATTATCATTACATTCAATAGGAAGCACTAAATTCTTAAGGGTCATACAGCACTTAGAGAATAGAAGGCAAACAGGTTTGATCCGACGAAAGGGAGAGCAGTTACAGTTCCTTGGATCAAGACTATCAGCTATACAGCTCACTAAGAAGCCTGGGTACTCACCTCACCATTCTCAGGAGGATCACCATTACCAAACGTTGAAGTGACCACCAGCACCAGAGCCTCGTGTTCTATATTAATTAAATCATAGTCCGCCATGCAGTAAACCTACAAGAAAAATTATATACTGTATAATATTATATACACATGTATATACTCTATATTTATTTATTATACACAGAACTGCACCGGAATCGAACCCGAGGCCATGAATGTGCGAAGCTTGAGTACGACCCGTGTACTCTAGTGGTTATTATCGAAGAAAAAAACCCTTCATGTAGTAAGGGAAGAAGGTGCCACGGTAGAAGGTGCCACGGTAGAAGGTGCCACGGTAGAAGGTGCCACGGTAGGCCTAGTCAACTTGCCGTTGATGTTTTCACTCCATATCCTTCATTAATATATCAAGAAGCATCTGTAGAGGAATTTTAAACAATACTGAAATTTTGTAAGAATAAGCCGAAAACGGGAAGTTATAAAGGTGCGTTTTTAAGGCCAATTTGTAAAAATAAAGATAATTTTTTTAGGTTTTCAATGTGGCTTAAAAATTACAAAACATGAACTCTCTGACATGTTGATTAGAGAGATGGAGTGAAAAAAATACATGTGTTTCAGGGGGTGGGGTTTTGTGGTGCCCTCTGCAAGAAGTTTCCCTAACGGCGAGTGACTCCAACTGCCTGTCTGTACCTGGGTACACGCAAGAGTCCCTGTACCTGGGTACACGCAAGAGTCCCTGTACCTGGGAACACGCAAGAGTCCCTGTACCTGGGTACACGCAAGAGTCCCTGTACCTGGGTACACGCAAGAGTCCCTGTACCTGGGTACACGCAAGAGTCCCTGTACCTGGGTACACGCAAGAGTCCCTGTACCTGGGTACACGCAAGAGTCCCTGTACCTGGGTACACGCAAGAGTCCCTGTACCTGGGTACACGCAAGAGTCCCTGTACCTGGGAACACGCAAGAGTCCCTGTACCTGGGTATACACAAGTCCCTGTACCTGGGTATACACAAGTCCCTGTACCTGGGTATACACAAGTCCCTGTACCTGGGTATACACAAGTCCCTGTACCTGGGTATACACAAGTCCCTGTACCTGGGTATACACAAGTCCCTGTACCTGGGTATACACAAGTCCCTGTACCTGGGTATACACAAGTCCCTGTACCTGGGTATACACAAGTCCCTGTACCTGGGTATACACAAGTCCCTGTACCTGGGTATACACAAGTCCCTGTACCTGGGTATACACAAGTCCCTGTACCTGGGTATACACAAGTCCCTGTACCTGGGTATACACAAGTCCCTGTACCTGGGTATACACAAGTCCCTGTACCTGGGTATACACAAGTCCCTGTACCTGGGTACTGACAAAACATCCATTAATTCCTTTTCTCAAACATTAAATACACTGTTTCTGTGAAGAATCCACTTGTGTAGTTAACTCAGTTAACCCTGAATGTTAACAGAAAATTGTGAAGTAATCTGGTTTGATCCAAAAAAGGGGAGGGCAACTCCAATTCCTTAAATCAAGAGCCCTTCCCAGCATCAAGATGCATTCCTTGAAAGATAAATGACCTTTGAAATATATAATTTTTTAAGTTACACCAACAATCTCCCACCGAGAAGGTTGACCCTAAAAATGGGATACATATTCACCATCATTCATTTGATCATCATTCATGCAGTCATTCACTGTCATGCAGGAGAGTGCAGATATCACAGTTCAGATGATCCTCCTAATTGCAACATTCACATTCCTGCTTTATAGTGCACTCTAACCGGTTTTCCTGAATCGCTTCACAAATGTTACCTTGCCTGCACTCCGACAGCACCTCAGGTCATAAAAATCACTTGTCTCCACTCACTCTAGCCAATGAGCTCACTCAAACCTAATGGATGTTCAAGCCTCCTAGCAATGAAAACTCTCTTTACCCCCTCCCTCCAACCCTTCTTGTTATGACTCACGAAATCATAATAGTTGAGACTCGAACCCATGGCAAGCGAGTCTTAAAACTTAATGGCCAGTGTGTTGGCCACTACCCGTCCTTCCCTCCACCCAGGATTTATATTTCCTAATATATATATATATATATATATATATATATATATATATATAATATATATATATATATATATATATATATATATATATT